CTATCTTTCTACCTACCTATCTATCTATCTATCTATCTATCTATCTACCTATCTACCTACCTATCTACCTATCTATCTATCATCTATCTATCTATCTATCTATCTATCTATCTATCTATCTATCTATCTACCTACCTATCTATCTATCTATCTATCTAATCTATCTACCTACCTACCTACCTGCCTGCCTGCCTGCCTGCCTGCCTTTATAGCACCACAATGAAATTTAGGCCTACTATCAAGACTTGAAGAGCCTCCAGCTGTCGTGGAGTTGACCATAAACAACACTTATGGATTACTGAATGGACAATGAAATTTTACCGGATAGAATTCTTGAAAAATAAAAATACCAAGATTTCCGTGGAGAATTTCCACCCTGCCCCTCTTGCCGTTGTTTCAAGTTCTCTGACTTCCCTCTAAGATAATGGTGACAAAGGCCAGAAATCTTTATCCACTGACAGGTTATCTTTGGATGATACGGTATCACCAATGAAACCAAAATGTCCCTTCATCGTAGAGATAGTTAAGGCTGACTTAGTCACCAAAAGCGAATAAAATGAAAGAGCGATGGGGAAATGGCAGAACCAGACTGTCAGCAAAGGTTAGGTTGTTGTTGCTGTTAGTTGCAAAGTTGCGTCCGACCCATCGTGACCCCATGGACAACGTTCCTCCAGGCCTTCCTGTCCTCTACCATCCTCCAGAATCCATTTAAGCTCACGCCAACTGATTCAGTGACTCCATCCAGCCACCTCATTCTCTGCCGTCCCCTTCTTCATTTGCCCTCAATCATTCCCAGCATTAGGCTCTTATTTATTTATTTATTTGATTTATTTGATTTGCCAATTGTTTACAAGATAATAAGTATAAGCGTATACATAGTTGTGAATACATGAAATGGGTACATATAAGAAAAATAAAAGAATAAGAGAAACAATAGGACAGGGACGGTAGGCACGTTGGTGCGCTTATGCACGCCCCCTACAGACCTCTTAGGAAGGGGGTGAGGTCAATAGTAGACAGTCTAAGGTTAAAGTTTTTGGGGTTTGGGGAAGAGACTACAGAGTCGGGTAGAGTATTCCAGACGTTGACCACTCTGTTGCTGAAGTCGTATTTCCTGCAATCAACTTGTCCAGTGAGTCTTCCCTTCTCACAAGGTGGCCAAAGCCTTTGAATTTCATAAAGTTAGGTTAGACCGGCATCTCTCAATCTTGAAAGCATTAAGACATGTGGACTTCATGCTGGCTGGGGAACTCTGGGAGTAGAAGTCCATACATCTTAAAGTTGAGTTACACTGAGAAGGGAAGAGCCCTCAAAAGAGAATGCTAGTGAGTTCAAAAGAATGAATCCCTTCCATACATGCCTGTTGGATTATGCTTGGTTTCTTTTCTAGGGGGGGGGGGGGGGAACACACCATGATTTGTGTTGAATGAGGCAATGCAGGAATTGCTGATGTTCCTTTTAAAAGCTCTTTCCTTTTCTTCTCCTTTCTCCTTTTAGTGATTAAAAAAAGAGGAGTGGTTTTGTTACATTCTCATTTGTTACACCGTCTTGAACTGAAAGCAGACAAAGCTATATTCTGTCACCCCAAGCAGGATGAAGGGGAATCAAAGGATTTTTTCCCTTAAAAGGACTAATTTTCTCCTTGAATTATGAAAGTAATGGCGAGGTAACAACCCGCGCTCTGTACCCAACTGCCTTAATACCTTCTAAATCCTTCCACGTGGCTCAACTAGTCGTAGCAATTAGAGCTCATTATAGGCTCGTTTCAGGGATTACTTAATGGACAATGAAATTTTATCAGACAGAATTCTTGAAAAATAAAAAATGCCAGGAAGGCCAGTGGGATGTGGGCGCACGCCTTGCATCATTCCGCCTGGGTTGCAAACATCTTGAGCTGGTTCCTATTTTCTCTTTTGCTCCTTGCACTTGATTTGACAAAAGAATTCCCCCTTCAAATGCTGACGATCTAAATTTCTTACTTGACTTTGAGAAGTCTTTAAGGGAAAGGAGACCCTCTCTGCTGAGCTGCCTGAATTCACTTCATACAGACACATCCCCTCTCAGTTAAAGGTCCATTTCGAAGGATTTCTAGCAGGACTACCAGGTTCCGGAACAGCTTGGTTCCCTCGGCCATCCGTCTGGTAAACTCACAAGATTCGTTTCTCTCGCCATAATTCTTCCCCCAAGCAATAATAGTTTCTTTAACTTGTTCTTCTTCTAGTTTAATTTCTAATAAATATCCATACAATTTTTAATCACCTTTTCATCAGTACCTGTCAAAATCTTATCTAAATCAGTCAGTTTATCATAGAAACCTTCTGTTTTAGAATCTTTATCATACCTTGAATGTATTTGCGCATATGAAAACCAATTCATCTTTATACCTTGTTCCTCTAGTTTTTGTATAGATTTAAGTTCACCCTTTTCATTCAATATTTCACCATATCTAACTGTTTGTTCCTTTTTGTATATTATAGGATAAGAAAATGCTTCAATAGTCGATAGCCAGACTGGAATTTTCAAATAACATTGTCTTTTAATCTTCTCCCATTTTAACCACAGAGACTCCCGTATATAATGTCTTCTAAAATACCCCTGTAGTTTAGTTCCTTTATACCATAAAAAAGCATGCCACCCCAACAACAACATTCTTGTGGAATGTGGTAATTTTTGTTTTTGCTTTTATTGTATAAAGCAGGGGTCCCCAAACTTGGCAACTTTAAGACTTATGGACTTCAATTCCCAGAATTCCTCAGCCAGCATAGCATTCTGAGTTGAAGTCCACAAGTCTTAAAGTTGCCAAGTTTGGAGACCTCTGGTATAAAGAATCCATTAGGTGAGTCCAGGTGGAGCCTGTTTCACAAACTGCCCTGAACCATTTAGTCAACCCAATGGGTCTGAGGAAAGGTATTTAGTTTTGGAAGATCCAAAGGAAACAGGACTGCAGAAACTTGAATGTCTGAATCTGTGTTCAAAAGAGTCAGGATTCAAAAGGTGCCCTATTCCAGTTGGGAATTTCAAGAAGTTGTAAACTTGGCTGAATCTGTAAGGATCAAATCATTCTTCTAAGATGGAGGGTCTCTGTATATCTGAATGCATTGAGCTCATATCTGAATTCCTAAGGGCCCCGGGCAAAGCAGTGTACTGGTGCCCCTACGACAACTACTCACAGGAATAAAAATGTAAATGGTCGACAAAATTAAACATATAT